TTTTTTTTTTTTTTTTTTTTTTTTTTTGTAACATACATTGTACATAGTTTACTTTTCAGAAACTACTGGCACTTGAGTCGATAAACATAGATACTAATATATAAATGCACTTAAAATAAAATAAATGGGAATGTTCCATATGAGCTCACTTAGGTCTTACATGTATTGGTTATAATTACATTTTAATACCAGGGTTTAAGCTTTTTCTCAACAAAAAATACTATAGCTTATAACTTTTCTTAACTTATCATAAAAACATACTTATAAGTTTTTAAAAAAGCATTACACTGTAAATATATATAAAATGTACATAAAGTATCCACGCTAATTAAGTTATTTACATCAGAATGGTATAGTGGTATTTTATGATTTTCTAAAAATTAGAAATCAGTTGTGAATGTTTATTAATATAATACTTGTAAGTTTAAGTATGCAATGAAACCAGTTGGAACAGAGTACATTGAACATATATAATTGTTTATTTGTATGTCAGGGAGATATAAAGTAGCAACCATGCACGATAAGCTTACAGAAGCCAGGAAATGTAATGCTTCACATACATTATATATAGCCTACGAGTTCCCGTAGGTTATACTTTATGCATGTGTAACTCCACTTTTTCATAACTTAGCTAGGTCTTAACTAAAGCCAGTACTATTACTTAATTATATTGCTAATTTTAAAGATGTATGTCCTACGCGTTAGAATATTGAAAACTATGTAAACATCATGATGAGTCAAATTTAAAGTCTATAATCAATCGAATATGCCAAGAAGAAAACTGTTTTTTTCTCCATTACAAATTTAGTCCGAGTTCGGAATATATTATCATAGGCCTAATAAAAGTAAAGCATTCAGAATTAAGAACGGATCGATGTATATACATTCAGGCGGTGCAAACGGTACAGTTTTCTCATACTTACTGGCAGAACAAACGGGTAAACATCTGATTTTAAAATATTGCTAAAACATTTGCTAATTAGCACCTTTTGTCAACCTGAAAATTTGCGTCTAGGTTTCCAATACATAATAAACTAATTTGTTCTTAACTATAAAACATCAAGATTAAAACCTTGATTAGTAAGTCAAAGTGATGAAGTTTCACGGAACATCCAGTTATCAAACATCTTCTAGAACACTTAATCTCATAAAGTAATAGAAATATAGTAATTAGGAGTACTACTAGTCAATGGGATTAGTGGTTATTTAACTCTAAAACTTTTAAAAATTAGAAATGAAAGGAAAAAAGAAAGAAGAGGGTCCCCATCAAAATGAAGAGGTAATTAATAGAGTTAAAGAAGCAAGTAAACACAACTCACAAACCTAATGTCTCTGTAAGAGAGAAGAAGTGTATGAGGCTTGGAGAATCGGCGTGACATTATTCAATTTTCTTCACGGTTCTACTTTGGACCACATTTCTTTAACGCCTTTTGTTTGTCATTCGTTCTTTTCTCCGCTTATTCGTTTCACTTTCGACCCACATACTTTCGCTTAATTATAAAAATGACCTCTCTTGAATATATTCTATCTCTTATCCACCCCCAACCCTCCTTCACGTTCTCATCTCTCTCTTCTATATAAAAGACCGTATCTTCTTCGTTGAGTCTGAGTACACGAGCAAAACCCTAGCTACAGAAAATTGATCTCTTTTTTTTTTCTCTTTTCTAGATCTGATACGGCAAAGTGTATGGCGCACTGGCAACTGGTGAAGCTGCCAGCATGATCTAATTATCTTTCTGTTGTTTTCATAACGATCGAAAAGGGATGAGTGTGGATTAGATCATGTTCGTAGTTTCACCCGTTGACTATAGCACCCTTTAAACCTCTTCTTCATCTTTAATTTCATCTAAAAATTCACAGTAGGGTTTCCAATTTTTTGGTGTTTGGTTTTCAAAAGAACGTGTTTATCTTTTATCTGTTATGTGAGATTAATTCACTTTTGGCTATATTTATATATGTTCATATTAATTTTTCATTTTTACTTGTGTGTGTGTGTTGTGCATAGAAATCCAAGTTTTTTTTAAAAATTGTTAGCGTTGTTGCGTAATATAATCTCTAGTTCGTCCAACTTATAGCAAATTGAATGAAAATCTCCATTTACTTTTTGGGATCTCAAGAGAGACTCCCAACTTCATTCACAATTATTATTTTAAGAAAAATTCTGGTATGTTTGTTTTATTATATTATAGTTTGGCTAGGGTTTCTGGGAAGTTGAAACTGAAGTTACACATGATT